GCTCATCTTTCTCCACCCTCAGCTTGTAGTGAACCAGGTTCTCTTGAGTGTGTGTGTGGCAGGGCGCTGAGGGAAGGAGATCCCCTTTATCCCTACCATGTGAAAGACGGCTGAATCAAAGCTCGGCAGTACAGGAACATCATGAACACTCATTGTCTTCTCAACAGGATTGCGCGTTTTCATGGACACGCCACACAAGCTGGCCAGATTTTTTATTGAAAAATAAAAAAGCCTGATGATTTTGTCAGCGTTACATGAGACAAGTTTATATTTAGATGTGTTCATCGATTTGCAGCTGACACTCTACACTGCGAGCTGTCTGTGGCTCATAACTCAGCCCGGACTTCTAAGATTGGCCGAATCCTGCCGCCAGTAAATCATAACAGCAGTGGATCGGAGCAGGAGGATGCTGGCTGACATGTGATGGGTCATTTCAGCTACAGGAAGTACTTGATGCACTCTAGAAGTGCTTAAAAACTGAAGTCAGCTGGAGGACGAAAGCAGCGGGAAGAGGTGAGGTGGAGAAAAGTGGGAAAAGTGTCATTTCATTACAATGGCAAGCACTAAGAGTTTTAGCCCATTACATATGTAAATGTTTGGGCCGTTTTAATTTCGACTCATCCTCTCCAGCAAACCTCTTGTATAAAATGTGTTTACAATTTTCATTTTTCGCCAAACAATTCTTTTTAGCTTTGAAATAGAAACATGCTATATAAAGCAAAGCCCAAAATTACCCATACTGCAGGCGGATTTAGATCAGAAGGGATTTTGTAGTTTAACCAACATGTTTTTGTTTTTTTATTTGACTTTTTCAGACTGGCTCTAACAGAGATTCCACTTAAATCTGATAGAAAACCTGATTAGAGGGACGACAAGAAGGCCTTCTTGTCATCAATTATTAGAAAATACAAGAAACTCCAGATGACTGTTCATCTCCCTCAAGCTGAGGCTCCATGCAGTATTTCACCTGGTGGATTATCATTGGTCATGAGAAAGGTGAGGGATGAACCCGGACTTTATCAGTGACCTGAAGAGAGCTGGGACTGCAGTCCCAAAGGTTACCATAGCAGCACACTACACCATCAAGGATGAAATCCTGCAGCTCGGCAAGGTCCCCATGTCAACACATATGCAGACCCATCTGAAGTCTATTAATGAGTATTTGAATAATTTCATTATTTGCTCAGTTTAGATGTGGCTGCAATGGAAATTGGAGCTTTCCATTTTTTGGAAGCAGGAAAACTTGATGACCAACAGTGTATCAGTGGATACTTATTTTCCCCACTATTAGACTGGGTACTTTTAAAAACTTTAACAATAAATCTTCTTTGCTGACCAAACACTGCTTGACTGGATGCTCTAAACACAGCATGTCTATATCAGTTCATCTGGTGGCTTCGGGTTGCTGATGCAGCATTTCCTAACATTGAATATTAATTAGACTCTGGCCTCCTCTGTCATTGACTTGAATTGGGGGCGCAGGGTTGTTGTTCTTCAGTGGACAGAAGAGTTAAATTCAGCTTAAATTACCCAAGGTCACTTTCTCCATAGCAGTGGTTGCTAAAGACAATGCGAACAAACTCTTTTATTTTGTCCGTTTACCAATTGAGTTTCTCATTGACCTCTGAAACCACATGCTTCCTCTGAGCGCCGTGTTGTTTACAGGCAGTCGCCGTCCAACTGCAGTTCAAATCCCTGCACACAAACAAGCTGCGAGGCCAAGCAGTCCAGCACAAGCGGTGCTGGAGCCAAATCAAAAGTCAAAGTCTTTTCATAAGATTAAAAACAAAAACATCTCCAGTGGTGAGCATTACCCAAAGGCATATATTTAACTCCCCTCCCTAGTGATGCTAATTAAAAATACAATCACACATCATACTGTTTATATGAGCCCTCCTTCTTTCTGTCTTCTGTGTGTACTTCCTTGTCCCCTGCCCCTCCCTGCATGTTTTCTTTTTTTTTTCTATCCTGGCGCTTACTTGGATCAGAGGACTCTTTCCCAGATTAAAAAGCGTCTGCAAAATCCGTACACTGTATCCATCCCTTCTGCCGCTGCCACCAGGTAATGCAGGAAAAGCATTCATCTCCTTGGCCATTTCACATGCCAGGTAAAGTAATGTTCCCTCGGGAACTTTAACTGCATCACACTGAGAGGTGGAGGGAGGGAAGAAAAAAAAACAGGTGGAAAAACAAGGAAACGCTCTCAGTGTTTTGTCTTGCAGCTTTGTCTCCAATGGGACGGGTGGAGTTTAAAGGAGCTTATTGTTTTTTTGTCCTACAACACAACCTTATTATTCCGTCTGCTTGCCAAGTCGGATCAGATGAGTGTACAGACTCCAAAGTGCCTGTTGACACGGCGACGCGCAAACACACTGATCAGCACACACACTGCAGACATGACTGAGGCGAGCCAGGCGCACAATATGAGCATTTGGATAAACACACAAACACGTGTGCACACACAGTGAAGCATAAATCACACAGAGAACAGACGAAAGGTTCACTCAATGCAGTTGTGCATTCAGAACCCAGAGATGTAATCCAGTTTCATTTTAGTTTGGAAACACCAAAAATGACAAGGAAAGCTCCAATGGAGGAAATATCACTGCATTTATTATTTTTGAGCATGTAGGACGCATTTTATGGGTGTCCAAACTCAAGGGCTGCATTCTTCAACTTAGCCGTTCGGCATGGGAAACGTCCTTCATCGACGACGAAGACCTGAAGTGAACGGCTTTGAAGTCTGACGGCCTAACCTTCAGATTTATTCTCGCCTTTACCTCAGCATTTGTCCCGTCGCCTGGCAACCATGACAGCACCAATCACAAGTTGCTAAAAAAGAAGCTTGAAATCTTGCTAAACTTTTGTGTTGTTTATTTAGTCATATTTCAGTTCCTGACTTTTTTTGTTTTACCACCACATTTAATGTACTTAAATATAATCTGGCTTCATCCGCCATTGTTACAAGAACAAAAATTTCCCAGATATGCAATGAATTTTGGAATAGGGTGGACTTCAAAGGTTGTAAAAATATATCTTTGCGCATGCATCATGTTGCAGAGATTTGCAGACTCACTATTTTAATGTAGCTCTGTTTTTACAGTGAAAGTGTGTCTTTGTGGAACAAGAAATACAAAGAAGTGAAAAAGTGGTGGGATTACGGGATGAACCGGATGCTTTTGAAAAATCCAGAGTACAGAAAGAAAAATGTTTAAAGGTGTTACTTTCTATTCTATACCTCTTTGAAGATCATTAACATGCCTCCACTGAGTGTGTTTGTATCGGTGTCTCTGATGTGCGCTCTTGAGACTGATCTCAACACAGATCTCACACACACACACCCCCACACACAAACACACACACATACACAGTGCAGATACATGCGTCGTCCCTGGAGCTCCTGAGAAGTGGAGATTGCCTCTTTAAGGTGGAAATCAATATCCTTTCTTTCCCCATCTCTCTCCCCTTCCTCCTCCTTCTCTCCTCTCAATTCTTGGACACCTCCACCCCTTTCTCTTTCTCAGACTCCCTTTCCATCCGTCTCCACGTGTCTCATGGCTTCTTCCTGATGTGTTCACTGACTGAAAAGAGACTCACACAGAGACTCCTCTAAAACCCATGACTAAAAACACGTCACTGAAACGTTAAATGTATATTTTTTTCCCGGTCTGATTCATTGTAATTCATCAAACATTTTTTTCTTAAAGGTTTATACTTGAAACACAGTAAAAAACAAACAAAACAAAAAACAATATAATTAGGTCATTTTATTTTGGGCCACAATAAAATAATACATCTTTCTATGAGATCAGAGAAAGACGTCAACTAATTAAGATACGTTCACATGATACTTCAGTGGACTCGGTTTGATTGGGCATCGAAATGGTAAAAACTGCTATATTTTGAGCTGCTGTTATTCACTTTCACACTGCACTGTCAAACATTGTAAATCCTGGTCTATGATGGCGATGCACCGAAAACCTCTAAAAAAGACACTGACTGAGCGCAACTTCCTTCTGCGTGAAATGTTAACAAAAATGGAACAGCGTCATCTTTTAGCGGTTGTAGGAATTTTTGGGCTTTGGTAAAAGATTTCTCCCTTTACCTCTAAACTCATGTGTTTGTTTTGGTTGTATTTACCCAGAATGCCCTGGGCAGGGCTGTTGTTAGAACAGACAAAGTCTCGCCAAATACAACAAGAGAGTTTTGTGAAAATACAGACAGCTAATATGCACTAACATCGAGCTATGAGACTGACATGAACATTACATAGAGCAGTTTCACTAATTGGAATTAGTGGATACTAATTCTACCTCCAAATCTGCTGCACTTCAACAGCTCAAAATGTTTTCTCAGCCATGGTATTTGTGAAAACAAAAACATAGGAACTATTACCTTTCAGAAGAACAACAATATACTAACTATAGTGTATTGTCCAATCAGAATTGGGGAATCCAAAAAATGCTGAGTGCTTGTTTAGTGTGATAATTTATTTTTTGAGATGTAGAGTCTGCACCACCAATCTCCTTCTTTTTTTTCTTTAGATCAAAATGTAAAAGAGAAATTTACTAATTTAGTGAACTTATTAAAATTTAAAGCACTTTCTTGGCAATTTAGGCCTTACATTTTTTTTTTTTTTTTGCGTTTCTTTGTTTTTCTGTTCTGTGGATGAAAAATAAAGCTGAGAATGATCATGAAAACAGCCTCAAAAGTGTTTTGCCTTGTCGGTCTCAGTAATTGGACTCCATCATAATTACCTAACATGACTTAACACCTCCCCAATGTCACCTCCCAGTTTTTCCCACCCTGCTCATCTAACTTTTCCCATCCCAGCCGACGGCCCTTTGGAGTCTATTTTTTGCCACCCTTCACTAAATAAGGTCGTGCTGCAGGGTTACGCCAGTGTGCTGGTGGAGTGGTGGGGGTGTCTGCTTCTTACCTTGGTATAAAAGCGCTGGGAACGAGGGGGTTCCCTCTCCACTACTAGACCTCCCGTTACACAAGTTCTATTCGTGAATTGATTTTGCCCAAATTGGATTCTGAAACTTAAAAAAAAAAAAAACAGAAAAAAACTCAAACAGTGCCTGTAAGCAGTATCAGAAGGTCATTCATTATCAAACCATTGGTTTTTCTTTATTTTATTATTATTATTTTTTTTTGTGTGTGTGTAGCAACATGTTAGTTCTATGATAGAGAATTTTTCAAACTTGTCATTCTGGAGAAACTGCGTTGACCTGATCCCTGGACGGCAGGTCAGGAAAGGCACAGTGTGGAATATGGGAGCAGAAAGGACAAGAAAGATGGAACAGAGTAAGAGATAATTGATTTTTTTGTGTTTATTTTTCTTTTTATGTTTATCCTCCTCTTTTCTTTTTGTCTTTACTGTCTTTCCTTTTCCCCTCTATTTCTTCCTGTGTCTCCCTTTCAAATCAGAACTTGCTCCACATTTTTCTCCTTCACCTTTCTCTTTCTCTCTTCCCCGTCCTTTTAATTGATGCATTTCTTTAATTGAAACAGTTTCTTCTTTTCCTCTCACCTCGCCTTCCGTTCCCCTGCTCTTCCCTTCCCTCGAACCCCTCCCCCCCTCCTCCGTCCGTCTTCCCGATTTGTCCTTCAGCACTGTCAGCACTCAGATTCTCGCTCCATCTCCTTCCCCTGCAGTCCGATCAGCTGTCTCTCCTTCTAACTTTACATGGCCCGCTTGTGATGCGAAGGGACAGACAGCTGCTGGCTGACGCATTTCACTGCCCAGTCATCACATCAAAATCGAGTCCTCTTACACAAACCTCTGTCCTTTCCATTTATTTTCCTCTATGATGTGTATTTTTGCTGTCTGAGGGATCCTATTTTTTATTTTTTTTTCAGTCTGATGCTTTCCTTCTACATTTTCTTTTTATCCTGCTAGAGAGAAATTCCAATGATCCTCTTCTTTTCTCTCCTCCTCTTTTCACTCCTCCTCCTTCTCTTCCTCCTCCTCTTTTTCTCTCTGCATCCTTAAACTCTCCATCGCTGATTCAGCTCTCAGGGAGGAGAGACTCCGCCTGCAGTGATTGCCTCACTCCGCATGGGCCACCATCCCTCTCTGGATCACCTTTGCAACGGTAGGTGCAGAAGTGTGTGCATGTGTGCGTGCGCGTGTGTCTGTGTGTGCATATGTGGTTAGATATTTGTAAAACATATTTTTACACACTGCATTTATTTTTTAAAGGTGTCTTTCTGGGTTTACTTTGCTCTGACCTCCTTCCTAAACACATTCTGTTTTGCTGGTTTGAAAAAAAGGGAATTTATTCTAAATTAAGGGGCAGAAGGGTTTTTTCCACTTTGTGTGAAGTGTGAAAACAGAGAAAGGAGGAACACTGTAGCATGTTGATAAAAAGAAATAAATAAATAAATAAAAAAAAGCACACGAAAGGGTTGAAAGGTCACGGCTTGTGTTTGAAGTGATGCACTGAGGAGAGTTCTCGGTCAGAAAGTAGAACTTTAAGCCTCAAGCAAACATTCACAGTGCAGAAACTGTAAGTGGAACTAAACACATACTTGAAATGTTGTGTTGTATGGAGGATTTTGCTCACCATCCAGGGCTTCATAGTCCTAGGGGAGGCATGAGGAAGTAAAACATGTCCAGTTAGTCTTTTCACAAACAAGTTTTTTTTATGCTTATTGCTTATTTTGGGCAACTACCACCACCTGTATTATGCAGATTGTAAGGCCTGTTGGAAAAAAACGGCATGTATCCTGGGAACGTTGAAAACACAAAGCCGGATCTGACGCATAGCTTCCAAACTGCAGCTGAATTCAGAAGCTGCAGTTTTTCAAAGAATCTCGAATGCTTTTTCACAGCTTGAATATCTAAAACACTGATCGGGTTATTCCACATGAATGCATAAAGTCTTTTAAAAAACAGTCTTACCTTTTATTTTTTATTTTTATTTTATGTTGAAATGTATTTATATTTATGGAAACACAAATCAAGCCTTCAGGGAAGGAGAGAGGACGCCTTTAAACCTACAACCGTCACCGCCTGGAGTGTAAGTTGCAGAGCCTCCATTTGAGTTGGTCTGCAGCATTTTATGAAAGATCACAACAATTTATAGATTTTGTAACGAATTTTAAATTTGTAGCAGTATTAGAAACAGACCTTAACGGAATACAACTGCTGACTTTTTGTGCATTTGACCAGCGCATGAATCTCACAATCATTGCTGCCTTGTCTGGCAGCAGCAGGACAAAGATTACAACAGAGCGTTCACATCTCTGCAGAATAAAGATGTGACCGCTCATAAGTCAAGAGAACCACGTGAAGTTCTTCGGCTCCTCTCTGTGTTCTAACCTTAGTTCTGGAGCAGTCGTCCAAACGAGGCCTCTGCTCTATCTATAGACGGGACACTCGCAGGTGTCACTCTCCGCAGGGAGGTTTTAAAGCAGCAGCCAGGTTCTAAAAGTGTCTTGCATATGCTCCTATCTGTTCCCCTCCAGCCCCTCCTCCCCGCCCCTCCTTGTCTCCGTCTCCTGCTGTCCTGGCTAATTTTACCCAGTTAGCAGATACCAGGGAGATCAGCCGTGGTCAGCTGTCTGTCAAGCATCCGGAGCCCTGACAGGCCTCACAGTGAAATGCTGGAGGTGGCAGAGTGTCGGGTGTCCCCCGCCTGGCCCCTGGGAGCGAGTGGGGGCAGCTGTTATAGAACACAGCTGTCCCAAAGGGAATCCTTTGCTCCAATAATCAATAACCAGTTGGGTGCGAAACTTTCTTGATGTCCCATTACCTCAAAAACAAAGCATTCCACTATACCCCTTTTTTTTCCTATATTTCAAGTGTTTGTGACAAATGTATTACGTTCAGTCGCGAGGATAACAGAAGTCCCAACAGATGTTGGTGAGTTTCACACAATTCCACTCCAGCAATGCATCACGGTGCAGGTGATTCTAATCCACGGGCCTTATCTTTGCAATCTACAGCGGTCGGCAATTCCGCCCTGGAGAATTGCAGTTCCTGTCTGGAATATTGTGCCGGCAATAGCACAGAGGCTGGAGTGGAGAAGCAGCTTAATTCTTTATAATGTGTCTGTGTGTCGAGCGCTGCACGTGTGCAAACCCCCTCCACCCCGCTTCCCTCTCGTTTAGCCGCCCCGGCCGGTGATTTACAAAACCCTCGTTCCGTCGCCGGGAGAGGACGAGCGTGATTTATGGAAGAGACTTTTAGTTTAATTACTGGGCGTGCAGGGCTGATGTGTGCAGCCCCCATGGCAATGGTTACACAGTGGTATGAACACACAAAGGCAATACTGGGGCTTGGGGATGGGGGGTGTGGTAGGAGATGACATATTCACATAGTTTTGTAGCTGCTATTGATGTCCTCAGGCAATTTGTATGTCCGAATTGCAGGAGTTGTCAAACTGTATTGCAAGAAAAAGTATCAGAACTTGAGAGAATATGTCCATTTTTACTGGTAGAAATAGTTCCAAAGTTTCAGACATGTAACATTTTCCCGTCATGCTGTTCATTTTAAGTTGTTTTATTACCAGAGATCATTCTGAAGTGACCAATAGGAGTTTATTCCACAGAGCAGAGAGTCACAACAGAAGTTGTGTTTCAATGCAAAATTTTACTGACATGAAAACATGCAAATTGATTTTATAGCGAATCAAACTGTGATTTTGTGGGATGTTGATGCTAATAAATAAGATGTGGAGCTGACACATTGGCGTAGGCCACACATCTCAGGGAAAATGAGAGCTTCCTGCTGGGAATGAGGTTTAGACCTAGAAAACTCTCTGAGTTTGGTGCCTGTGAAAAACACAAACCCACCAGTGGATGGGAAAGTTCGCTACGTCAGAACTTTTGTACAAATTGTGTTTCCATCTATTGAATAGGACTTTTTTTTTTTTTTTTGGAAAAGCAAGCTTAAAAAACTCTTTTGCAAAATTGAGGAAGTTTAGAATTTTGCAAATTTCCGTCAAATGTTTCTAAAGCGATATTTCAAAATGAGCATACAAATATGTTGATAGAGCTAAAGCCTCTCAGCTACATGCTGTTCCACACTGCTTGAAAGAAGGCTGCTCTCCTTGTGTGTCAAGGAAGTCAACTCTTTTTGAAGATTCCCAGCTTAAAAGTTGGTGAACTATGTGTGGCACGTCTTTCAAGCAGCCGACTGCAGGCTGTAGCAGAGCAGATAACCTGACTATGAATAGTGGAATGGGTAAAAGGTGTAATATTCTGCTCAATAGACATGTAAAACTTTCTACTAAATATTATCTTGTCTGCATTTTACTTAAATCTGCATTGTGAAATACAATAAATGTGATCATTATTCCTGTCATAATCAATATGTCAGATTATTTTAGTATTTTTATGACATGTTTTGAGTTTTAATGAAACATTATGTAATGATTGTACACATTTTATGGTTTTCTGTAACTAGGGAGACATTTTTCAAGCTTCTTCCATGTCTCGCATCAGCCCAGGTCGGGTTCTGACACAAGAGGAAACCGTGTTAGGAAAGCGGCTACTTTTACTAAATCCCACTTCAGCATGGAATTTTTTGCCCCTCCGCCCCAAGTAGAAGCAATACCTAAGCCTGTTATGGTGGGAATATTGCGCTGTGTCAGCAGCAAATGTGAGCTTTGATGGTGATTTGATTAGCTGTAATTGTCATTCAAGGTGAGACAGTGACAGACTTCCTGATGTAGCAGTTTAGCTTGACTTTCCGTGGCTGTGGGGAAGCAGGACTACGTCCATTCTCACTCAGCTTCGGACAGTCTCGGTCTAGAAACGTACCGACCAACAGCAGATGCAGTTTGAGTTTGGTAAACAACTAAAACACATAGATAAATCCATAGATGGAGAATATTCTTTGATTCCTTAATTTCTTGAAGGAATCAACTCATGTCTTTATATGTTTCTCTCTTAGGCATATTGGTATTGAGAAATTGGCGCGGAGCTGACCAACCTGAACTAAACCTGATTGGTGAATGTCTTATTACATCACATGAGTATGTGGCGTAAGGTAGTTATAGGAAAATACCTTTATAAATATTAGTGGCAGGATTTAATTAAAATTTCTAATTGAGTTAATTGCAGGGTCTGTAATTAATTGCATTTTAAATGAAAAGCATAAAACCGACAAAATAACCAACATTTTTAATTACAGAATGCTTTCGGCTGCTAAATTATTGAATAGACATACGAGCTCAATAACAAAGATGTTCACTGTTTCTGTTCTGGTATGCAGATCCTTCAGCCATCACATTGGTGAAAAGAGCTTTGACTTCGAAGAGTTTCAGGAAGCCCTGATCATTCGTGAAACTTCTTTAGAAATGTGATGGCTGTGATGGATGCCGACGCCAGTGATGGTCTCTCCGCGTTAGCTGCTACATGTTTAGTGTTCAAATGCTATTTCAAGCTTGAATGGCTTCAGTGAAAGGCTAACTCCTTTTAGCACCACTTGAACACGGCTGAGGCTTTTTTTCTGCGTCCCGGTCAGATCAATTTTGAAGCAGAGACGAACCCCCGGTGGTCCGAGAGAAGCGGCTTACTGGTCCGTCACTATTTGCGGGTTTTGCTTGTGCTTCAGATTTACGACCGTACCAGAAGCACATGAAATGATAAAAAGAGGAAAAAAGTGATTAACTGCATTAAAATTGTTATAATCTGTGTAATTAACTAGTCAAAGTGAATGAGTTAAAGCCCCGGCCCTAATATGCTCGTATACATCTCCGTATATCTTATCTATACATGTATACATCTATATGGGCACGGCTCTCTGAGTGACCCCTACACTGCAAGCTTTATGCTGCTGTAGGTTTTCTTAACACCTCTCTTGGAGCCTTTATTAGATGCCTGACGTTAGCAATGGTTCAATTCATTAAAAGCACAACTCAGCCTTTGTGCATTTGCCTATAAATTGGTATTGATCTCCGAGAGGGACAGGGAGGTGGAGGGGTTGGAAGAGGGAGGCATATGTGTGCGGCTGTGCGGTTGAGGCTAATGGGAGAGGGTCTCAGGTGAACGGGTCTCACTGGAGCCACAAGGGCGTCCGCACAGGAGCAGAGTATGGGGCAGTGTGAACAACAAAATAAAACCGGCACACATTCATGGAAGTGTA